AATGCTTCGCGTCCTCAAATTACTCCAATATCCTGAAAATAAATCATAAATGTATCATCGCCCTTGAATCCATCTAATAAATAAATAAGTCAAAAAATATATAAGTGCGACAAAACTAAGCATATAAAAATACGCTAATAAATATATAAAAATACACACTTTCTCGACCAATCAGGTTGTTATGGGTTGAGCTAGCTAACAATTAGAACACCCACAAAGCATTTGGTCTCTTAATAAAATATTAGTACGAATCCAGTGCGATGCACGGATAAAAGATATGTATTAATATTTATAACTTAAAAAAATTTATTAATAATATTTATAAATTAAAAAAATGTAAGCAATATGCAATAAAATATGCATGTATAAATTTATTGAAAATGTTATATAAAATTGAAAATGTACAAATTAAATTACATAAAAATGTCTATTTAAAATTAGTACAAAACCTGTGCGTTACACATAACTTATAATAAATTAAATTTTATTCGTTTCAAAAAATGTGTCGTTTCAAAATTTTTATTCCAAAATTCGATTTGACTATAACGTGATTCCATAAAATAATTATTTTGGTAAAATTTTATCATATATTTAAAAACTTATGAGAATAATAAGTATAAATATAAAACTTATATTGTTTCATTAATTAAAATAAATTTATTTTTGTATAAACTCAAATAAAAAAATTTAAGTACTTGAGTAAAAACAATCAATCATAAGATTTTTTATGCCAAAAAAATCGACACTCTATAGCATACTAAAAAAATTATCAGTGCATTTGACATAATAAATTCTTTGAAATGTCGTAACAAAAAATGAATTAAATAGAGACCCACTATTTAAAAAAAAAATTGACCATAGTTTCATCTTTAAAAAAAACATCGATACACGCACATTATATCAAAATATCTCTTAATATTATTTTGTCGGAGTTAAGGTAATTTTATTATGTTAATTTTATACAAAAAATTGCAAAAACCATATATTAATTAATGTATATATTGATTAATTTATATATCAAAATATCCGTTCATATATTGATTAATTTATTTCCTATAGGAACAACCATCGATACCAAAAATAAATTTGTCCACTATATACTATATATTAATTAATTCACATGATTTGAGAAATTAAGGTATCTTAAAATATGGTTTAATTACTTCCTTAAATAATGAGACGCAATTACCATATGTGATCATTTGAAATATACCATAAATTGTTAAATTAATTTCCTGAAATTAATTAATTCACATGATTTGAGTAATTAAGGTATCTTAAAATATGGTTTAATTACTTCCTTAAATAATGAGCCACAATTACCATATGTGATCATTTAAATATACCATAAATTGTTAAATTATTTTCTCGAAATAGTAAATAATTTTTTTTTAGAGGGAAATAGTTTCTATTTAAAAAATAATTAAACCTTTTTATACATATATATAGATCATATGCCACATAGGAAATAGACTTATGGCATGATTGGTATGATGGAATGAAATTTTATAGGTATTGAATGAATTGAAGAATGAAATGATTATAGGAATGGAATGAAACATATTTTGTCATTGATGCGTTTGGTATGCAGAAGGAATAGGACTAGAATGAAATTACATTATCATTTTTTATTATAAAAATAAATAAAACCTTTTTTTAAAAAATAATGTACTTTTAATAAATTATATATAAATGCTTTTTTAATAATCTAAAAATAAAATAATATATTTTTAATAATATATAAAAATAGAATAATATATTGTTTAATAATATAAAAATAATATATTTTTAATAATATATAAAAATAAAATAATATATTTTTAAATTATATATAAAAAATAATATATTCTTACAAGTAATATATTTTTAATACATAAAAATTAATATATTTTTAATAATATTTTAAAATAAAAAGTAACATATTTTTAATAATATATATTTTATTATTTAATTAAACAGTAAATAAAAGTAAGTTTTTAATTTTAGGGAATGAGTAAGGGAATGATCATTCAATTCCCATGTCATTCCTTCCTACCAATCATGCCCTAATTAGTCTATTAAAAAATGTCTCCCAATGCAATTAAAAGTGGACATGGTCTAGCTTATGTGATAATAAAAAAAGAGACCAAGTCCACACTTGGGTCTATTTTGGACCCAAGTATAAACCCAAACACTCATTATTTATTCCTAATTTAAATTTTCTTTTAATAAAAGAAACATATTAAAGCATTTTTATTGGTTGACATGTATGCTAGACCTAGTATTTTTTTTTTGCATTGAATAGCTTTTGAGTTTTTTTACTTGGGTTTGTTCATGTCATTTAGAACTTAAGTCTATTTATACGCCACATATGTAAAAATAGACCCAATGCATTGTAGGTGCTCTTAAAGGCGATTCATACCAAAATTGCACATACTTAATTCTTAGATAGTTATATAAAGTTTTTTAATATCTACAAATACATAAATTTATAATGATAATATGATACTTCGAATGTAAAATAAATAAAAGTATTATATTTAGCATTATAAATATATCTATTTTTTCTTAACAAAATTGTTACTTGTTGGCGTGTCTAACATCATTTTTCAAAATTGTTAGGGGGTGATTGGATATGAATTAAACTAGTAAAAAATTATTTTTTTTAACTATAGTTAAATTTGGAAAAAAAAAAGTAGTATGGTTAGTTGTTAGTGGATATATTAAAAAATATTTAAATTAAAATAATTAAAGTTGATTTGATGTAAAAGTAGGAGAAAATAATTGGAAGTGATGGCTAGTTAAAATTATGTGAGTGTGTGAATATCGAATTAAAGTTTATGTGATGTATAATAATGATTAGTTGATATTATTTAATTATATTGATAATATTGGAGATAGTGGAGTTGAGTTAAATTTGAGTTTTGAGTGAGATATTTACTGTAGAAATTATATACAATCACGCCCTTACTTGTTGGCGTGCCTAACATCAGTTTTTGTGCTGATTATATGTTTTGACAAAGAATGCATTCTAATACTATAAAATATATATTCTTGTTTATGTTATTTTTTAGAGAGTGACATTTTATTAAAAAAATTAAGTATTTTTACGTCTAATGGTTCGGTTGTTGGTCTCACAATAGTGCTAGTACTCATTCTCTAATAAAAATTGTAGATGAACTAAATCCAGCATGAGCTCATGATACTTGAACTTGGGCTCGAGTTTGTTTGGCTGGTTAAGTTAACGAGCCGACAAACAAGTTTTAACGAGTTGCGTTAATGAGCCATAACGAGTTGAATTATCTTAAAAGATCAAAAAATTACGTAAAAAACTTGAACTTGGGCTCGAGTTGGCTTGGTTGGTTAAGTTAATGAGCCGACAAACAAGTTTCAACGAGTTGCGTTAACGAGCCATAACGAATTGAATTATCTTAAAAGTGTAGTAAATTACGTAAAAAAAAAAAAAAAATCATACTTATCTAATTAAACGAGTCGATTTGAACTTAACTTGTTAACTAAACGAGCTCGAACTTAATTAGTTCGTTTATCAAACGAGCCAAATCGAACTTACAAACGACTTGTTCTGTATAACAACTCTAGTGACTGATGTCCCCTGCCATCAACCAAATAACATTAAAGTCATTTTGTCGCTTTAAATTAAATCATAGGGATAAGAAAGTTGTGCTTATAATTAGTTAAAGATAAGTAGGGTTTGTAGAACAAAATTGAAATACCCGTGAAGGGTTTAACTGTATGGAGTGTTGTGGTGTTTGCTTCTAGCTACTTCCATGGCCACAAGTTGCTACACAACAACACAGAGTCACGGGAACTCTTTTCTCCTTTTACACCAAACTATTCACTTCCTCACATTACCTACCCACAACATATTCATTTTTTCATATATTTTTTTTTATTCATTTTATTTTGTTGTCTTTATTTTAATGATCACACCTTAAATGTCAATTCAATAGAACATCCAGCCATGTCACTCTTGCATTATTGAGATTGTACCAATTAACTCAACCGCATTTATTTTTATTTTTTTTCTTTCTTTCTTTTCTCCTATCTTTTATTTTTGTAAATTCATGTTTTTACTAATGGAACTAATTTTTTTTTTTAATATTTTCTTCTATAAATCCTTTTGATTATTAAGAAATAAAACTCTAATGGCTTTAATTCTTACATGGATGTCGAGGGGCGGCATGACCTAATCTAACCCGTTAGGTTAGTACAATATTACGTCAGTTCATGAATGACATTGAAATTGTCCGTGAATACAAATGCCAACATTTCATGATAAATCAACTGAATAAATGTTTGTAAGTTAGCCTAATAGTTTGGCCAACAGATTCTTCGTACTTTTTAAATAATTCAAACTCCATAAATTTTCTATTAGACAGACTATCTTTGTCCAATTACTTAATGGTCTATGATCCATGAATTGATCATAGTCTTCATAGAAGGTATGTATGTAGTTAAGCATAGTAAAAAACAACATTTGTGATTCAAAATAACATCTTCACTTTTGTTGCAACCAAAAGCACATAAAAGAAGAATTTTGTAAACAATTTAAATGATCCACTTTATATGTTGTAGCTCTGTCATATCAAAATATGTAACAAACCGAATTTTTTTTCGTTCAAATTATTATTATTTTTTTTCTAGCGGTTTTCCTCAATAATTGTTCTATCAAAAAACCATTAAACACAAAATTTATGAGAGATCTTTAGATGGAAAATTCCACAACCCAACAAAAAGGTGGCAGATTAAAAAAATAAGAGAAAACAAACCGATTCCCCTGTGAAAAAAATAAAATAAAATAAAAAACAGTCTTTGATTAAGTAGTCCCCTTCTCATTCATTGATTCAAGATAGGAAAAAAAAAAATTGCAGAAAATGATGCACGAATCAACACAAACTCGACACGTGTTAGTTTCTAGCATGTCCTAAACTCTTTGCTCCTCTGTTCAACTCCTCATTGTTTTCTAGTATAAATATATCCCAGCCTCAAGTTGATTTCTTGCCACCACAAAACTTGCACCGCAATTAAACCTTCCCGAAGGTTAAAACAGTAATTTTCTTTAATTATTTCCGCATGAGAGATCTGTCACATGTTTTGTAGCTCATTGTTAGGGTAAAAAAGCTTCACATTGTTCTCGAAACAGAGAAAAGAGCCAATGGGAGGATTAGCCTCAGTCACAGTCAGCTTGCTTTTTGTGTTTATTATTTTCACAACAATTTTATTACTCGAAAATGATGTAAATGCAGCGAGGCATCATCCCCATTTGGGGAAGAACCAGAAAAACAACAACAGTAGTCCACCTGGCATCTCCCCTGTTAATTCCCCCGGCCCATTATACCCTCCCTCAATCCCATCGGACCCGAGTTACGGGCCGGGTCCAACCCGGCCCGAAAATCCAATTTCGGGCTGCACCTTTGACGTCACGGATTTCGGAGCTGTCGGGGATGGAGCCACTGACGACACAGCCGCCTTTCGGTCCGCGTGGAAGGCCGCCTGCCAGGTGGACAGCGGAGTTCTCTTGGTGCCTTCGGGCCTAGTTTTCGTAATCACATCCACCATTTTTTCTGGGCCTTGCAAGCCGGGCCTTGTTTTCCAGGTGGGCCTTTGCCAGCTGGGCCTTACTTCTTTTTAGTTTTCCCCCCTTTTTGTTATGCTAATAAATTAATGGTGTGGTTTTGATGGTTTGAAGGTGGATGGGGTGATTATGCCGCCGGACGGGCCCGATTGCTGGCCGAAATCGGATAGTAACAAGCAGTGGCTTGTGTTTTATAAGCTGGATAATATGAGTTTTACTGGCACAGGCACAATTGAAGGCAATGGCCAAAAGTGGTGGGATCTTCCTTGCAAGCCTCACAGGGTTAGTTTAGTTAGTACAATCTTTTTAGTTTTTTGGTTCTAAAATTTCATTTACTCAGAGTTTCAGACAGATTTCTACAAAATTATTAATTACCCTGTGAAATTTATCGCACTAACTTACGTTTTTGATGTTGTTTTCAGGGCCCGAATGGATCAACACTGCGGGGACCATGCAACAGCCCTGCGGTAGGTTCAAATGATGATCGACATTAATTTTTTATATGTCTTAATAAATAAAATGTCTTATTCTTTTCTCATCTTTACAGCTCATTCGCTTTTTCATGAGCACCAATTTAGTTGTCTCCGGCCTGCGCATTCAAAACAGCCCACAATTCCACATGAAGTTTGACGGCTGCGAAGGCGTACTCATCGACAAGCTCTCCATCTCATCCCCGAAGCTGAGCCCCAACACGGACGGAATTCACATCGAGAACACGAAATCCGTCGGGATATATAACTCCGTCATAGCCAATGGTTTATCATTTATCATTAATTTCATCAAACTTCTAAAAACTAAATAAATAGATAACTAAAAGACTTGTTTTTTTTTTCATTGAAATGTGAACAGGGGATGATTGCATTTCAATCGGGACCGGCTGCTCGGATGTCGACATTGAAGGCGTCACCTGCGGGCCTAGTCACGGGATCAGGTATTAATTAATTATTCTTTTGTTGTTGTTTTCTGTTTTTTTTCTTTTTATTTTTTATTTATTTTATAATTCCGAATTGTAATTTTATTAAACAATAATTATTAATTTGCAGCATAGGCAGCCTCGGGCCCCACAACTCGCACGCGTGCGTGTCGAACGTGAGCGTTCGGGACGCGGTGATAAGGGAGTCGGACAACGGGGTGCGGATAAAGACGTGGCAGGGGGGGACGGGTTCGGTCACGGGTATCTCGTTCGAGAACATCCAGATGGAGAACGTGCGCAACTGCGTGATCGTGGACCAGTACTACTGCCTCACCAAGGCGTGCCGGAACCAGACGTCGGCAGTCCGGCTCTCGGGAGTCACCTTCCGGAACATCAAGGGCACGTACGACGTGCGGTCCCCGCCCATACACTTCGCGTGCAGCGACACAGTCGCGTGCACCAACATCACGATGTCGGAGGTGGAGCTGCTGCCCCACGAGGGGGTGCTGGTGGACGACCCTTTCTGCTGGAACGCGTACGGAGTGCAGGAGACGCTCACGATACCGCCAGTCGACTGCCTGCTGGACGGGATGCCGCAGTCGGTGGTCGATGATGGTTACATGTACAGATGCTAGCTAGCAAGCCATGAGGAATTGTTTAAGTGTTTGTTGAATTTGGATGGGTTTGCTTGCTTTAGGAATTGTTTCATCCCTTTCTTGGGGGGTTTATTTATCTATCTCCCATTAGTGGTGTGATGAGAAGAATTGATGTGTGTTGTGTGATGTTTATATAGGGTAGTGTAGGGGGAAGTCTAGTATAGTCTATTTGTGTGTCTGTCTTCATGGGTTTGTAATAAAAAGAAATGGTTTTTGTCTATTAGTCTAGTTTAGTCTATGTCTACCAATTGAGAATTTGATTTTACCGAATCATCAGCAACCAAAGCCAGAACCATTTCATGATGGCTTATCCAGCAGCAGCAGTGACGATTTCACTGCAAATCATCACGTAAAGGAGGTAACTATTTCGGTGATTATCCCTGTGAACAGCTTACCAGTATATTTGAGTTTGAGTGATGACATATCATCACAGACCTTTTCTTGGGTGGCATGTAAGGGTACATTTTAAATTCCAGAACCAGTTTCTGCCTGTGTTATTTTTGTATTGTGAACAAAAGCAATGTTCCGGGAGATGCTGGATTAGATCTGTCGGCCAAGAAGCAACCTTTGTTTTGGTTTTCTCAATGAATTATGAAAATTGATATAATGAAAAGAAAAAAAAAAGTTGTGTAAAACATTGTCTTTGCTTTAAGTCTCTCATTGCAAGGTATGTCGGTGATTGTGATTTGAGAAAAAGAAAGTTACATAACATAATGTCTTAGTTTAATTCCTCTCTCTGTGTCAATGCGGTGTGCGCTTGACAAAAAGTGCATCACAAAATTGCTTATGTTTCATATTTCTACAAAAAGTGATTACATTTCATTTTTGTATTTACATTTTATTTTTGTATTTGTTATTTGGCTATAAATTAGACAAATGGCTATTTTTTCATATTTTTACAAAAAGTGATAATATTTTGTATTGTATTTACTATTTGGCTATAAAATCAGGGGTTTGTTCTTGTTATTGGATTTTTTTGTAATTGTAAGAATTAAATTGAAGTTTGTTCTTGTTATTGGAATTTTGTAATTGTAAGAATAAAATTGAGGTTTAAGATATGAGAAAGATTAAACGAGGGTTTATGAGGAGAGATTATTAAATATGTCCTTGCAATAACGATGATGTCACTCATGTTTTTTAATTTTCAAACCCCTCTGGAAATAATATAAGCTTTAGGACATTTCTCTAGGACAGTCTAACCGTCGTCAATACATCCACTTTTTATTTTATTGCATTTGTCCCAGCTTTCGATTTTGGCAGTTCTACTTTTAACACTGTACGAGAAAAATCATTTCTACACAAGCTCAGCTGTCGCCGCGAGTCTTCACGCGCCGCCGTTCGTCGCTCCAGCACTAGCTGCTTTCGTCTCGCAAGTATGCATTCCGCCGCCTCTTGCACCCCGCACCTCCCCTTTTGCAATTTCCGTTGTTAACTTAGCCTCCATTCAGCAAAGAACGGAAGAAGAAAACGATTTCCCTCGCTTGTATTAATCTTTTGTTTTTCCCTCTGTTTTTTGAGGTTCTCTTTGGGCTTGAATTGCTTGCATGTGCCCTGATCACCATGTAAATTCATTTTATTTCGTGGTCGATACCTTAACTTTTCAAGGTTACCATTCAATTTCAGACCGTTGTGTAGTGGCTAATTTTCTCGTCGACTTAACTTTTCAAGGTTACCATTCAATTTCAGACCGTTGTGTAGTAGCTAATTTTCTCGTGTGTATGTCATAACTTGAAACAGGAACTCAGTATGTAAGTTCTGTCTTAAATGTTTGTTTATTTTATTATTGTTATCATTTTAATATGCAGGAACCGTGGAAAAAAAAAGGAAAAGGAAAAGGAAAGAGAAAGAGAAAGATGGTGGGTGCTTTCAATGGTCACATTTTAAGTTTAATAATACTCTTATTATTGATGAACGAAATGATAATTATGCCGATTGACTGTTCATCACATGTTTGGACATTTCTAGTCTGATGTAGTGGATATTTCCGATGATGAAGATTTTCCAATGCCACCGAACGAATTATCAGTTACTCTGAAGTGCGAGAGTTTGGATTATGATTTTCCACCAGAAAACGCAAGCGCAAGGCCTGCGGATGTACGTTTACTTATTTTATTGTGTTAAGTGTGGAATTAATTGTTGGGATTGCTGAGCTATGAGTGCCCACCCTCAGGGGTTCAGTATAGGACATTTGGAAAATATTTGCAGTGGAATTTATGTATGTTTATCTCGTAAACTGTAAATTATCTTTATGAGCTGTACTTTGTTATAGGAAAATGTGGCAAGCTCATCTGGGACCAATTTAAGGTCATCTTTCTTGGGGATGGGATTTGCGCCGGCTCTTGTCGACAAAGCAATTGAAGAACATGGTATGTTTAGCTCATTCTTTTGGACAGTCTTAAATGTGTAAATCTGAATTTGCATGTTCGGTAAGCTAAAAGAAGTCCTCTATTACATTACGATATCGTGGAGTGCATGTACCTAATCTTCTATAATCAAATTTCACCATTGCTGTTTAAAAAAACGCTCAGAGAAGTAATTTCCTATTCATAATAGGTGAAGAGAATGCCGAGTTACTGTTGGAGACACTCTTTGCATATTCTGTAAGTGCTTCCACTCCCAACATAAGGCAATGATCATATTATCTATTTTACATGTCTGGATTGTAGACACCTTGTTACTGAAATATTGCAGTGTTATGCATCTTACTCCCTTAAATCTTTTCTACCTTTTTGCTATTATTTATATAATCTGAGTTGACTGTTGAACAGAAAAGGGCAGTCAGGTTATATATCTGTTCTTTATTTTGTTTTTGTTGTAGTTTTGTTTCCCATAGGACCAAATCTGACTTCGCTTCAATTCTTACCCCCTAACCAAAAGTAAACAAACAAATATCATGTAATTTAGTGTAGTTTTTTTTTCTAATACATTGCATTTCGGATACAGTAGATCAACTATTTTTCTCAATATATGACCCAAAGCAAAGCTAAAGAAATACAGCTGCCGTGTTTCCACAGATTGATGTGGTTCAAAGTGCAGCTGAATGTTTTGGATTAAAGCTATATTTTCCTAGTTTGGTTAAAAAAAGAGTTCTGCTATGTCTTCCAATTGAGAACTTGAGTGTGATTTATTTCTGCTGAAAGACTAATTATTACTTGAATAGAATCATCAGCAACCAAAGCCAGAACCATTTCATGATGGCTTATCCAGCAGCAGCAGTGATGATTTAACTGCAAAACATCACGTAAAGGAGGTAACTAATTCAGTGATTATCCCTGTGAACAGCCCTTTGTATATTTGAGTTTGAGTGTGATGACAGACCATCACAGACCTTTTCTTGGGTGGCATATAAGGCTACATTTTAAATTCCAGAGCCAGTTCCTCCTGCCTATATGATTTTTAACTCAACAAATAGTTCTTCAGTTATATGATTATTCATAGTCGATTCATAAGTGTCTTTCCTAGTCATATCCATTTTCAATAAATATGACTTTCTATGTCTTCTTATTTGTCTATCCTGTTGGGGTTTTTGTATATTTGGGTTGTCAAAAGAATTTTCAAGAGGGGTTTGTAATCTTGTTCTCATTTATTGTTCCACTTACATTGCTGTAATTGAAATGTTCCTCCGTGGTATTCAGTCTTTGATGTTTTTTTTATTTTTATTTTATTTTATTTTATTTTTTTATTTTCTCGAAATTGTGGATATTCAGGAACCTGATGCCGGCAGCCCTACTGACGGGAAAAAAGAATCTTTGTTAAAAATGAATTTCACTGTGGATGAAGTTGAGCTTGCTATGGGTAGACTTGGTTCGTGGAAATATCTGAACTCTATAATACCCTATACGAATGAACTCATGTTTTGCAAAATGTTATGCCCATACCCTATTTTTCTCAGGAACTTTTTACAAGGAGCATATGTTGGTGCATTCAACTTGCTCATATTCGTGTGTTATACTTATACTCGACTGACTGATTTCCTACAGTGGGCTATTACACTTTTGTCTTCTAATGTATTGGGACTTGTCATTTTGTTGATCATATCTCCTACACTAGTGAAACTCTGCCACTTTTGTTACTGGTTTCAAATACAAGTAATTTGTAGTGCTAAGATTTAATAAATGTCTATTTGTGTGACAAGTTAACTTGGATAAGTTATGTAAAATTTCTGATGTTTCATCACAGGTAAACATGCTGCTGTTGGTCAATTAATGGATTTCATTTTTGCTACTCGGATGGCCAAGAAGTATGAGAAAGACACATCTAATATAATATCTGGAGGCGAGGAAAGTGAAAAGGTTCTGATGACTCTTTCAATGTGTTCAGATTAAAGCACGACTTATGATTGTCTGGTTACATGTTCGGCAATATCTCAATTGGATTGCCTTCTCCATCTTTCAAGATCTGATAAGAGTACTTATATTTGGTTATTATGGCCATTAGCCACAAAACGTGACTCTGGTTGCCAGTTTAGTCTGGTTAGCTCGTAGTCAAAGTTCATGTTTTGTGAACTTGATTTCTCTAATCAGAATCTTCATCATCGTTTTATATGTGCGCACATTCACATATCGTGCCTTTTGCCTAAATTCATTTGTGAATTCTCAGGATTGCAGTAATGAGGTGTTATTTGGTGTCATGGACAAGACACTTCAACTACTTGAAATGGGCTTTTCGGAGAATGAAATATCGACAGCTTTTGAGAAATGTGGTGAGCTTACGATATAAAAAGTAGAGGATTGTACCGTTCTACTTACTCTCTCTCTCTCTCTCTCTCTCCTGTTCAAAACCCTGCCAAGTAGAGAAAATTTACACGTCTGTCGCACAAATTTTAGTACTTCCAAATTTTGTTTGTCATACAACACTACAAACTGTTATGACCTGTAAAATTTGTACTCTCTTTAAATTGGCAATCATATATCCTTTTGTTTAACACCTTCATTTCTACATTTAAGGTTCAGAAGCACCTCTCCCCGTGCTCACGAACTCGATCGTCGACCCTACTTACCAGGTCCATCCCATTCCACAAATCTTCTTTTTAGCAGTCTCTAATAATTATACATCACCCATCATAATCACACACCAAAAATTACTCTACAGTATCAGCCTCCAAAACGAAAATCGGCAGAGCCCCTTCTCGACTCGTCATTCATCAAAACCGAGGAACCCAGCGACCTCACATCCCAAGTCGGTAGTTCCGACTCGCTCGTAAAATCAAAGCGGCGCAAGATTCCGCGAACAACGCAGCTCGCCGACGAACCAAACGACTTAAACACATACCCAAAGGAAGAATTCGCTGAGGAGACCGCGAGCTCTGCCAGCCTAGCATGGCTCGAAGCACCAAATTTCGAGGAAGATTCAAAACCCTCGATTTACACATCCACACCAAACCCTAAAAAAACCCTCTCACCCGCAGCTGCTCGGCCCCCATATTTCCTCTATGGCCGCGTCACCAGTCTCTCTCTTTCCTCCTGGGCCAAGATCTCTCAGTTTCTGTACTCTGTCCAGCCCGAGTTCGCAAACAACGAGTCTCATTCAGCCCTTCGCCGACAGGAAGGCTACGTACACAACCTCCCTACGGAAAACCGGGCCCACATTCTCCCCAGAGGCCCACTTACCATCCAGGAAGCTTCCCCTGAAGCCAGAAAATGGTGGCCCGCGTGGGACACCCGGAAGCACCTGACCCAAATCAGCTACCAGACGGGCTCGACGGCCCACCTCATCGACGGGCCTCCACCACGGGACCTTGTCCAGCAGATCCAGTCCAAGAACCTTATCTGGATGGGCCGAAACCGGGTCGGTCCAGTGGATCCTGAGCTGGCGGAGCGCGTGATGGGCTATCCACCGAACCACACTCGAGTTTCTGGGCTGGGCCCGGATGAGAGGGCCCGGTTACTGGGGCTCGGTTTCCAGACGGACACGCTTGGGTACCGACTCTCAGTGCTGAGGCGGGTTTGCCCGGGAGGTGTGGCCGTGCTGTCGTTGTTTACGGGGATTGGGGGTGCTGAGGTGGCGCTGCACAGGCTCGGGATTCGGATGAGAGGGGTGGTGTCGGTGGAGGGGAGCGAGGTGAATCGGAGGGTGGTGAGGAGGTGGTGGGAGGACAGTGGGCAATGTGGGGAGCTTGTGCAGATCGATGATGTGAAGAAGGTGACGGGAGGGAGACTGGACGAGTTGTCGAGGAAGTTTGGGGGGTTCGATTTGGTGGTGTGCCAGAACACGAGCTCAGGAGCGGATGGTGGGGGGGTGATGTCTGGTTTGGATTTCTCCATGTTTGTGGAGTTTGTGAGGGTGCTGCAGCGTGTGAGGTTGAGCAGATGAGATTTTTTGTGGTGCTGTTTTGAGTGACGAGTTTTTTGTATGTAGTACTTGGATTGGATGTTGTTAGTTGTGTTGCAGCATGGGGGCAATGCCTAACTAAAATGCTTGGAAAATTTGAAGTAATAGGTATCAACTTTTTTTGTTGGAGATCTAGATTTTGTGAATATATCAATGAGGAGAAGTTGGAATATTACGGTTTTTTATAAGGGTTGAGCACGGGATTTGGACATTACCGAAGAAAATCGAACTAAATTCATTTCGAACCGAAACATATCTGTTGAGTGTTTGACTATCTCCGAACCAAATTGTACCATACCGAATTTTTTTTGGTGTGGTTCTGGAGATTCATAGATATTCATATCGAGAATCAAATCGAGCCGGACTAAATCGAAAATAGTTGTACCGAACTAATGAACCGAAACAAATAACTAATTGCAAAACATTCACAAATGTATGTGTGTAATATTTTATCCTATGCATTTTTTGTTTTCGTACATAATTGTTTTGTATCTTATGCTTTCATTTGTGCATAATTATTTTAGCAAAACATAAATTCAATAGTATGGAAATTTCATATTTAATAACATTATTGTTGACATCCAACTCGTCGTCCAATCCCCTCAGGACACGTGTCACAGTCAACGGTCGAGCCAAAATGACATAATGCGAGATCCATCCGGTAGATACCGAATAGCAGAAAGTCCAAAGACATCATCTTTTGCACTTAAGGGATGCCGAGTTTCTTTTTGCGCAATCTTCTGCAACTTTCACGGGAAGTAATTATTGACAAGACCGCTAACCTCCAAGCTATCCGGTACACGTGTCAAGATCGCAAACCGTCGATCATAGCGGAGATTCGAACCATTATCATTAGGTATTAAATGCAGTGTACTTTTCAAAAATAGAAAAGCAGTTGTACAACACAAAGTTGTACTACACACACACAATACTCAATTGTCTTGACATATAAATAGGCCGATAAGCCACTATAAAAGAGATGTACTTATACCCATAAGTAGATAACAGAGAAAAGACCGAATTGCAATTCAGTTCGACAAACGACTACCTAAAATATCACCTTTTTTTTTTCTTGCAAAATATCAATTTCGTTGTTACAATTTTATATAACAGTTTTGCGCTAGAATGAGGGCTCATCTCGTTTTGGAGTAATCTTCCACCTTAATAACACCTTTATTAATAAAAAATGTCATCATCAAGCCAGGAGGATCAGCATGACGATGCTGGGGCCGAACAACACCACGATGGGGATCCCAACATTGATTTCACTTCGTTGTTGCAATACCCGGATTTTTGTAAGGGATTTTCAAACCTTTTGGCGCAAACTTATAACACCTTTATTAATAAAAAATGTCATCATCAAGCCAGAAGGATCAGCATGACGATGCTGGGGCCGAACAACACCACGATGAGGATCCCAACATTGATTTCACTTCATTGTTGTATTACCTGGATTTTTTTTTAAGGGATTTTCAAACCTTTTGGAGCAAACTTCATCGTCTCCCTCTACTATACCTAAAAATTTAAATTTTGATTTTATTGTTGTAATTATATTTTTTGTAATAATATATTTCATGCAGAGTAAAAAATAGCGCGAACTACTGGAAATAAAAGTTTAATTTTGGCATTCTCTACTCCAGAGTAGTGGAAACACTACACTAGAGTAGAACAGAAGATTGGAGTAGCCCATTAAACTTATAAGGTGAGTTTATTTTCCATGTATAAACGATGTGGGACAACTCACAACACGTCCCCTTACTTGTGAGTTCTTAATAACCCTTACTTGTGAGTTCTTAATAAGAAGTCCAAGCTCATATACAGAGCTGTGCTCCCATAAACGAGTACGTGGGCTTGGGGCACCCAGCTCTGTACATGAGCTTGGGCTTCTTATTAAGAATTCACAAGTTAATATTCTAATATTGATAGTGTTCGAATATGTTAAATTTTTGTTATCCTTAATTATAAACATAAACTCAAAAATTACAACTATTTTATAATGAGTGAAATAAACATATACCTCATATATTAAATTATTATATATCATGAAATGAAAGAAAAAAAATATTATTATTCAAAATTATTTTTATACTCATTAATATTTTTTTTTTTTTTTTTCTAAAAA